GTCGGGCCCTCATACCACCCTCATGGAGTCTGTTTCTGACCGTTTGAGCAGCCACATGCACATTTGTGATCTGCTGGAGGTCATTTTGTAGGGCTCTGGCAGTGCTCCTCCTGTCCCTCCTTGCACAAAGGAGGAGGTAGCGGTCTTGATGCTGGGTTGTTGCCCTCCTATGGCCTCCACGTCTCCTGGTGTACTGGCCTGTCTCCTGGTAGCGCTTCCATGCTCTGGACACTACGCTGACAGACACAGCAAACCTTCTTGCCACAGCTCGCATTGATGTGCCATCCTGGATGAGCTGCACTACCTGAGCCACTTGTGTGGGTTGTAGACTCCATCTCATGCTACCACTAGAGTGAAAGCACCGCCAGCATTCAAAAGAGACCAAACCATTAGCCAGAAAGCATAGGAACTGAGAAGTGGTCTGTGGTCACCACCTGCAGAACCACTCCTTTATTGGGGATGTCTTGCTAACTGCCTATGCTTTCCACCTGTTGTCTATTCCATTTGCACAACAGCATGTGAAATTGATTGTCAATCAGTGTTGCTACTTAAGTGGACAGTTTGATTTCACAGAAGCGTAATTGACTTGAAGTTACATTGTGTTGTTTAAGTGTTCCCTTTATTTTTTTGAGCAGTGTATTTGTTAAATACCTGAGTTGAATATCATATTTTATTTTATTTTATTTGGTTTGTCAATTGCTTACAATATAATAGGCATAAGTAAAAACTTAGTTATGAATACGTATAAGAAAAATAAAAGAAACAATAGGACAGGGACAGTAGGCACGTTGGTGTACTTATGCACGCCCCCTACAGACTTCTTAGGAAAGGCGTGTGGTCAGTAGTAGAAAGTCTAAGGTTAAAGTTTTGGGGGTTTGGGGAAGAAACCACAGAGTCAGGTAGAGTATTCCAGACATTGACCACTCTGTTGCTGAAGTCGTATTTCCTGCAATCAAGTTTGGTGTGGTTAACCTTGAGCTTGTATCTATTGTTTGCTCTTGTATTGTTATGGTTGAAGCTGAAATATTCATTGACAGGTAGGACATTGCAATGTATGATTTTATATACTATACTTCGATCGGACCGAAGGTGGAGTAGTTCTAGGTTTTCTAGGTCTAGAATTTCAAGTCTGGTGGCATAAGGTATTCTGCAACTAGTAGAGGAGTGTGTTAATATCAGATACATAATGTGGGTTCCATTTAAAATTAAAATGTGCATTTTAAATTCTTAGTCAAATGTTGGATAATTTATCTCAAGATGGAGATAATTTGATTTAATCATTAGAGCAAGAGTCAGTAACATATTGCCTATTTTACCCTTCAACTTTAGCCATAGAACTTAAAAATTAAATAAGAATAGGAAATGGCCCATGTTATGAGATCACCAAATTTTCTGAGGTTGTGCATGCCTGAAATCTAAATGCATCTATTACAGATAAAGAATAGAGAATGTTTGTTGAAAGCACCGGTGTCATGTTTATACGGAGTAATGTTGCTTTTAAAGCTGAACTCAACTTCTTTTCTCTAGGCATTGGCTAGTATAAGTCATATTGCTCATATTACTATAACTTCTAAAACAGCTGACGGAAAATGTGCCTACAGGTAGGTATATTTAATATTTAAATGTTACTTATTTTAGGAAATTTATATTGCTCCCTATTCAAACTTGGTGACTAAAGGCAGCTTACAAGAATATAAAAACCTCATATATAAAAATAAAACTAATAAAAGAGAATAACAAATTAATAAAATAAAATAATAACATTCTCCATCCTGGCAACAATATCCCCATTTAATGGGCTCCATCCTGCTCTGGTTTTCCCAGGCCTGCTGGCAGAACCAGGTCTTCAGCACTTTCCAGAAGAGTATTAAAATGGGGGCCATTCTAATCTCAGGAAATGATGTTCCAGAGAGAAGGAGCCACCATGGAGAAGACCCTTCTAGGTCTCACCAGGTGTATCTCCCTAGGGGATGGGACCTGCAACATTCCTTGTCTCCTTGCTCTGGTGGGTTGGGTAGATGTGACTGGCAAGAGACAGTCCCTCAGATAACCTGGTTCCAAGCCATGAAGGGCTTTAAAGGTGACAACCAGCACCTTTATTGTATAGATTTTTTTATTTTTTCTTATTTACAAACATACCATTGTGTGAACAGTGGTACCAGGGTCCCTTACATTTTAGAATAAATATGACAATATTGTTCATATTCAATACAGTTAACAACCTTATAAATTTTCTTATTAATACACATATATTATTTGATTATGCACCATTTCAATATCTTATTTTTATGTCAATCTCCATATTCTAAATATCCCTCTTGTTCTGGTAAAATATTAATCATATTTTATTTGTAGTGTTTAACAGATTTATGTGATTCCAATAATAATTTGCCAATTTATATTGAGTTATAGTCTTCCATTATTAATCCCCTTTCTAATTTTTGATTTTACCACTATTGTTATCTAATCACATTTTACAACTTAATAACAGGCAAAATAATCGTATTTATGTTTGACAGGTTATATAATTCAAATAATAATACAGTTATCTCTATGTTCTTAACATTCCTTTTACTATAGATACTATATTAATAGTTATGCAGTGTTTAACAAATTATATAATTTTCATAACCATTCATAAATTCATATTGGTTTATTTTTTCCCATTATTTATCCCCTTTTCAGTTTTTAGTTTGCCACTATTATATTTAAAGTCCCTTTCTAGTCACATTTTAATACAAATAAAATAATATTCATCATGTTTACATTTAACAGATTGTGCAATCTAATAATAAACTTCTATCTTTTATTATATTTCACTACATTATCTTTGTGTCAATCAGGTTCCACATATTTCTTTTCCTGCCGTAGAGTATTAACATTTATGTGAAGATATACATTTGATGATTGTATCTTTTCTAATAATACACGCATTTATGTGGAATCATAATCCCCCCCTTTAGCCAGCAACTCTTACAATAGAGCTTTGATTAATAGTTTCTTAGCTTGCCTTACACTTTCCTCTCTTGAATTTTCATCTCTGTCATTTTTGGACCATTCCTCTTAATATTTTTCCCTTTTCTACTATGTTCCATTGTCTCTTTTTCAAGTTTCAAGTCTCATCCAGTTCACACATCATTCACTGTCTCTTTGTTCCTGCATTGTCTTGGGTATTCAGATTGTCTCCAGCTTCATGGCAGCCATTTTGGTTGCCGCTGCACTGTCTTCAGATGAGGGTTTTTTTCAACGTCAGGGAGGAGAGATGTGGCTCTCCTTGATCTTGCAGGCAATCCCCCTTTACTTCACCACCCCTCCAGGGTGGCTGTGGCTTCAGTTGAAGTCCTTCGACAGATGAGCTTGGAACAGGGCTGTGGAGCTTGCGGTCCTCGCTTCCGATAGCGCCAGAAGTACACCCGGAAGTTCAAGCATTAATCACCACCAGAGTCCACCTGCTTGTCACCTCCCAGAAAGCTTTCACAAGCCAGGAGGAACATGGATCTAAAACACAGGTGCTTGTGCACATACTCCCTAGGATCCTGACCACTTCCTCAGGAGCAACAGGGTCAAACTGTTCCCAGATAACAAGACAAGAACATGCCTTGGGCTTCCACTGGACAAGCAACCACACCAGCATCTAACTGGGAACAAAGTTGAGCAATTTTGTCTTCATGAAAACCCACAAATTCCTCAATCTCCTCCTTCCTCAGGAGGAGGAGGCTCACCTTATAGAGAGTCGCTGGGTGATTATCTGCAGATGCACTTAGTGCAGAGAAATATTTACATTTCACCACACAAATTGCCACAAGGTAAGCTTAATTCCAGGTCACATAGGCATTGCTCCAACAAGAACACCTAATTGGGTGTGTGACCACTATTCCTAGTCAGGGCCTGGATGGCCTGGGACAGGGCCATGGAATTCATGGTTTCCTTGAAATCTCAGGCTACCTCTGACCCCACCCCCAGGGATGGCAGATTGAAATCCCCCAGAACTATAAGCCAGGGAAACTCTACTGCCAGCCCTGTGGCAAAGTCCACAAGTCTGGGTAGGGAAGCTACCATGCAGCAGAGAGGCTGGTATAGCAGCAGCAATCCCACCTGATCCCTTGAGCCCAACTTAAGAAAAAGGGTCTCACAGCCGGGCACTTGTGGAGCAGTGCCCCTGGAAGCTGCTAGAGATTTTCTGATAACAACAGCCACACCCTCCCCGGACCTGAGGCCTAGACTGGTGCCATGCTCAATAACTCACTGGGCACATTTCTAAGAGGAGAACACCTACGCCTAGCCAGATCTCGGTGATACAAACCAGATCAGCCTTCTCTTCAAGGATCAATTTGGCGATAAGTCTAGCCTTATTGCAGGCTGATCTGATTGTCAGGATTCCGGCACTTAACCCCATTTAAATCATGAGTCTCGAGCTAAACTTCCAAAACTTCAACAGGATTTATTGGGAGTTAAAAGATCTGCATTGCCTATGTGTAGCCGACTCTGAGACACATCATTCATTCTCACCTTTGACCCGGTTTTCCCCCACCCCCTGAGTGTATCATAATTCATATTCTCCAATGGGACATATCCATATCCAAGAATCATCAATCATGCTCTCCAGTTAGAATTTTGCACAGCAGAAAATTCGGTTACCTAGTTACTATCTTTTAAAATATTTATGGAATGCAGTTTCGGTTTGCAAGCTGTCTCACTGCTCCCCCTCCCTTTCTGTTGGCAACTCTAAAAGACCATAGAAATATTTTATGAGTTGATATTCAGTTCCCCTCACTTCTTGAATGTGACCTATACACGCAAAAAGAAAACAAATTTATTGCAGGGATAGGACTTAGGCTTGGACGTTCGTACTTTTTACCCAAGATGCCTCTGATAAGGGATAGCACTTCCATTGGAGTTGTCTCCTGTGCCACCTCAAATCGAGGATTCCCTGCACCTCATAATGGGTTTGGCCTCCTGTGACCACAGGCCTGGGGGCTCACTGACTAGAGTTGACACTGACATTTAAAAGCAGCAGCCAAAGATCAGGGCCACCACAGATCTGGTGACCAGGTAAATGAGGTGAGTGCAAGGGGGCAGAACACAAGATTGGTACTTAACATGAGGTGGCATTCCCTGTGCCTGCTCTCCCCTTGCCTCCCATATCTCCCATTTTCCGGCACCACTAAACTAGATTGTCCTCCTCTGCCTTCCCTGAAAACCATTCTATCCCCCATCGCTAACATTCTTTCTTACAAAAGGGTAAACCTCCTCCAATTGACAAACCATCGACAAGGTGAGCCTTACAGGCAGTATAGCATTTGCTCTCAGTGCCTTCAAACTCACACCACCCCTTCCTCACTGCCGCAAAGGGTCCCATCCAGCAACCCCTTATCTCTCAACACACTCATAATACATCCATCCAATGCACAAACATCGCTCTTCCCAGTTGTTCTCTCCCACCAAGCAGGGAGCCCCCCCTTCCCCCAGTTCACCCAGGGGAGAGGGACCAATACACTTGCCTCTCAGCCAACTTTCCCTGCCAGCCCTGAATTCCCTGAACACCCTTCCCAGGCCTGATTATAGAACATTCAGAAGATTGCAAAAAATAGTCAGAAGAGTAGCCAGAAGGCCTGCTATGCAGTGCTAGATATTGTAGCAGCTGTGTAGTCCTACAATGTCTCCTGAAGTTCACACAATTCCAAGCTGCCACTCCCCAGTTAAACCTCAAAAAATCCCAACTTCACCTACCACATTCCACAGCATTAGTGACCCCTTCACACTGCGTAGACCAGATCGACGCCACGCTGGCACTGTTACCTTTTTGCACTGGGTAGACCAGGCCGAAGCAACACTGGCCTGATCTTTCCTTTTTGCATTGGGTAGACTGGGCTGAAGCCTCACTGGCCTGATCTCTCTTTGCACTGGGTAGACTGGGTCAAAGTTACGCTGGCTCTTCATATTGGGTAGACCAGACTGAAGCTATATGCTGGCTTGATCTCTGTTCATACTGGGCAGATCGGGCCAAAGCTTTGCTGGCCTGATCTTTCCTCTTCTCACTGGGTAGGCCGGGGCGAAGCTACGTTGGCTGATCTTTCCTCTTTGCACTGGGTAGACTGGTCTGAAGCTATGCTGGCCAGATTTTTCCTCTTCACACTGGTAGACCGGGCTGAAGCTATGTTGGTTGATCTTTCCTCTTCGCACTGGTAGACTGGTCTGAAGCTATGCTGGCTGATCTTTCCTCTTCTCACTGGTAGACCAGGCCGAAGCTATGTTGGCTGATCTTTCCTCTTTGTACTGGGTAGACTGCTCTGAAGCTATGCTGGCCTGATCTTTTTGTCTGTTTTTTGGATATGTGTTTCTTGTAAACATATCTAATTTAATTAATTTTGCCATTGTTCTTTTTCTCTTAGTCACTGAATTTAATCCATTTATATTTATTGATAATAGTTCGATTTCTTCTCCCATCTCCTTAATCATATCTTAATCTTTGTCATCTGTTGGCTCTTGTGTCTCTTTGGGTTCTTACTATTGCCCTTGGGTCTTCTTCTTCTTGTCGTTCTTTCTCTTCTGTTCTCTGGTCTCCTACTTTACTTCCTTGTCATTGTTCTTCCTGGCTGTTTGACTCAAGTTCTTCTTTACTGCTTTGGTCCTCTGGTCCTACCATCTGGTCATTCTTGTGCCTTCTCTAAGGTATCAATCTTAAATTTCTTTTCCTCCCATTTCACTAGCATCCCTTCTAGGACTAGCCACCTAAAAAGGATATTCCGTTTGGTAAGCTGTGTGGCCAAAAACCGATAGTCCTGTCTCTGCTCCCTCACTCTTCTTGAGACCTGTTTTAACATCTGGATCTTTTTTCCCTTGTATGCCATTCATCTCTTGTCATTCTGTAAATTATATCCTGAACTTTTTTCCTTGTGAACCATATGTGCACTTCCTTCAGCAACTTATGCCGTCTGGCATAATTCGTGCTCACCCTATAGATGTCATCCATTTTGGTCAAATTTTCATTTTTGTCTCATTGCAGGATTTCTGTTAGTATTTTGGCCATTACCAATTCTAAATCTTCTTCCTTTGTTTCCATCACATTTTGGAGCCTTAGGTACGAAGCTGCATGTTCCATCTCTAGATGGATAAGAGAGTCCTCCATTTCTTTATTATTTTCATCTTTTGATCAACCAGTTTTAATTTCTTCTTTGTTCTGTTCATTTTTCAACTTCTTTTATTGTACGTTCATTTTTTTCCAGGGCTTGTTAGATTGAGCCTACTTTTTCATCTAATTTATATATATTGGTCTTCATTTCACTTTTTAGTTTCCCCATTTCTTCCGTCACTTCATTTATCTCTGCTTTCATTTTACTATGATTTTTCATCATCGTTTCCTAAAGCTTGATCATCGATTCTTGTATTGTTAGTAATGTAGTTTGTATATTTGGTGTATTTGGGGTTGTACTCTGTTTTTCTGTCGTGAGCATTCCTTCAATCATTTTTTGTGTCAAAGATGAAGCAACTGCTGTTGAAATTGATGGAATTGGTGTTGCCTTTTTTTGGTCTTCACCGTCATTGTAGTAATGCTTCTCATTTCTTTTAATATTTTGCTCTGTTTTTCTAAAATATTATATATATCCCAGATCAGCATTCACTACTTCAATTTTTGTTATCTTTATATTTTATGTACACTTCCTACTAGCTCATTCACCATTTTAAAGTTCTTCTTTTATGTCTTTATAGAATCAATTAATCATCAATATTACTTACAGTACAACTCGGTTCTATCTTTCAGTTAAATAGGCTTAACTTATATTCTTCTAACAACAAGGTTTAGAGATATCTAATTAAATATTGTAACTCTTATGTATCACACTGTTATATCATAAAGTCCTTCTTATCAAATCTATGCAATCTTAAGTTAACATAGTCTTCAGTTAATATCAAATATTATGGAATATAATAAAGTCTTATGAAGTGTATAAATTATATAAAATATATGTTCTAAAACATTTACTCAGATAATCATCAATTATCCTCAATTCATTAACAAGTTTCCCCTTATTTAATAATTAGAATATATAAATATGTATATAAAATATAAATATAATATGGTCTAATGTAAATAACTACCCTCTAATTCTCTAATCCTTAATTCCTAATTTTATAAATCTCTAATTTTTATAGATAAATTTATAAGATTATGTAAATATAAACTTATTTCATTAATCAAAATTTAGTCAATCAAAAATCAACAAAAATCAATAATCATTTCATCAGTTGGTTTCACCCCTCCAGAGTACTTTCCTCAGTTCAGTTATCTCGAAAGCCAAATTGCTGTGTAATAGTTATTCTCCTCTCCTGCTCAGTGGACTCTGATTGCTTCTGTTACATCAGCTACTACCTCTTCCATTCCTCTCTGTCACTGTCACTGTCATTATCAAATACAAGCAGTTTAGAAGCTATCATCTGTTTCAACACAATCCAGCTTTTCCTTTTAAGTCTAAGTGTCTTTTAAAAGTCTCTAATCTTTTTTCGGCTTCTTTGTTCATTCCGATTCACCAAGCTCCTTTGTTCGTTCCGATTCACCAAGCTCCACTTTGGCAAATCCTCCGCTCCCTGTGACTGCTCATACAGGTCCACTTACCGCTTTTTTCTTTGTTCGTTCCGATTCACCAAGCTCCACTCTGGCAAATCCTCCGCTCCCTGTGACTGCTCACTGCCCACTTACCGCTTTTTATCGGAGCACCGATCCACTTTCTTCCTCTCTCTCCCTCCACTAATTATGAACCTTCTTTTAAAGCAGTCCCTGATCGTTGCTTGCGATCTCCACACCACCAAGACCAATTAATGCCACAATCTGTTAATTTAAAATTCTGCTTCCTTCTTTCAACTGGGCTGTTGTGAGGCCACCATTCAGAGATGGCAGCTGCCTATGCGTTGAGCTCCAAGGGTATCTCTCGCTCTCCGCCACACTGCTCCTCAAGTTTCCCCACACCGTCACGGATCTCTTTGGGATCTGTGTACCCCTCAGGGGTCCTCTCAATGCTAAGGAAAAGGTTAGAGAATGGAGCCCGTTCTTTGCCTCTCACCGTCACGATCAACGGAAGTTCCATTTTCTTTTCTTTTTTTAATGAACCTGCTAAGAAATAGTTTTGATTCTCTTTGGCCTTAAATATTACAAAACAGAAATAGTGAAAGTTGTATAGTCTCCATTTGTTCTTGAAACTTGGACGGATAACTCTGTTTTGTTTTATTATCAGGGCAAATTACTCTGATGGAAAACTGAAGAGTGTTCCAAAACCTTGTGCAGGAAACCAAGGAACTCAGATCACAGTAGGTTACTTCCTTTTTTAGTGTTTATAATTTTGGAGCAGCCACATCCCCGCCTTGTCCAGTGTCTTTACACTCCAGTGCTAACTTTATTTTAGTTTATCGCAGCAGGAATGCATCATTGTAGACAGCTGGGAGTAGAGGATTTGCTGTGGTTAACCTCAAACATGTTTTTTGAAGCAGCTGTTATTGCTGAAAACACATGGAGGGGTAATAACAAGAATATCCCCTTTCAGTAACAAACCTTCTAAATTATAATATTGAAAAGAATGATGTGCAAATCCCTTATAGCATGGGCGTCAAACTCGCGTCATGTTAGTGCCCCATAATGTGTTGTGATATTTTTTCCCTTCGTGGAGCTTGGGTAGATGTTGCCTGCCTGTGATAAACACAAAATGCCTACAGTTCTTTGTGGACTTTGTAATAGTGTCTTAACACACTCTTTCTTCTCTCTCCCCTCATGTATGTATGCATATACACATATTGTTATCTGTGACAGTGTTGTCATCCTAAAAATCTTAGTGCAAACACTGCAGGCCAGTGATATTGGAGGATCCAATATGAGAGAATGTTAAAATTCAATTTATTTCATTAACTGCTGTTTTACTCAGACTGTTCCCATAATTCAAGATATGCTTTATGAATAATAGTGAGATTTTATAATAAGTGCAAATCTGATATAGGATAATAGTTGCAATAGCAGCAGACAAAATATGGAAAATGATGTAATATATTTTAATATTGAACTCTCAACAATATGACGTAAGATAACTGTAAACAGAAATAAGTTGTAGGGAGTTTCTGGAAGAGTTTCTTGTAGAGAGTTTCTGGAAGAAATCTCAGGAATGTAATAATATTTGCTAGTAATTTTGAAGAAAGGTACATAGATCCTTATTGAGTATACTAAAATATTTAATCATGGAAACAAATGAGATTATATAACATTGTAGCCAAAACTGATTATGCTAAATATTGAAAAGTAATAACTTAATCAGAAATTGAATAGGAAAACAAGGTATAAGTGTATAATGATAGATACTTTAATCCATTATTTTTTATGAGAGGCAATGCTAAATATAATTTGGGTTAAACTTGTCAACTATTATTGGAAAAAAATATGTTTTTTATTACACCATAACCAGAAACTTTTCCAATTAGGTTATATTATCTTATATTCATAGTGTATTGCAATTGATATTTGTATTAATGTAAAAGTCCCATGTAAAAGCAGAGGCTGAATTTAAATACAGTGATATGCTGCTTCATGACAGCATTCAAATAATATTTTTCTAGACCTTGCAGGGAGAGACAATATTGTGGGTCCTAGAAAACATTGAGACAAATAGAGCAGGATTAAGTGGAGCAAGACAAACTATGTGAATACTCTATGTGATTGGCAGAATTTTCTTTTCTTATGCTTCACAATAAAATACTATTCTTGTAACCCTTACTTTGGTTTTTGAATTTTTTGTTTGTTTGTATTAAACTCTGTTGTTTCTCTCGATAGGTTGAAGATCTATTTTACAATGTAGCCACCAGGAGAAAAGCTTTTAAAAATCCTTGTGAAGAATATGCAAAAATACTGGACGTTGTCAGCAGGTGATCTACTTAAAAGTAGAGTTGCTTTTTGTTAGGTTGGAACATTCTTCTCCTTTTAGCCAAGAATTGAATATATAGAATATTTTGCACAAGTTTTTCTTATAAGTAGTTGCCATTGTCAATTTGTAGTCTCTTTCCCAGATCTTTTGCCAATTATCTAATCCAATTATCTAATCTCATAATCGTTGAGGAAAACTCAGGAACAATTGATACAAATATTTGAAAGTAACTGTAAAAGCACTAACACTAATTGGCCTAGTGAATTTATTCTATTCTCATGGTTGTAAAGCCAACAAAGGCTGTGCCAAAAGATAATAGAACTTTCATTCTGAGACATATAGTTGATTACAAGTCATTTAATATTCCTCAGAATGTGCATATTTAATTTTTTAATTATTTATTTATACATTTTCTCTTTACATACATAAATGTTTTTATGAACAGTGTGTTGTCTGGGTTAATTTGCTTACATAATACTATTTTTCCAGTTCCTAGTTTCTACCTCTGTTGTCTAGCCATTTGTAAAACAAGACCCATGTTCAAAAATAGTCTGCGTCTTCTTCTTTTTTTATCTTCAGTGTCAGTCTGTCCATTTCTCCACAGTTCTTCATTTTTCCAGTGCTGTGCAAATACAATTCTTGCTGCTGTCAAGACATGTAATATTAAATATACATTCCCTTTCTCATATTTTTCTGGCATTATGCTTAACAAAAATAATTCTGGCTTATACTCTATATGCTGTTTTAACATTTTTTCTAACCATGTGTGCATTTTCATCCAAACTTGTGTTGCTTTTGGACATGTCCACCACATGTAGCATGTGCCCGGTCTTTGATTACATTTTCAACATTTGCCGGATTTGTTTTTAAACATCTTTGCTAACCTCGCCAGCGGCAAGTGCCACCTATAGAATATTTTGCACAAGTTTTTCTTATAAGTAGTTGCCATTGTCAATTTGTAGTCTCTTTCCCAGATCTTTTGCCAATTATCTAATCCTATTGTATATCCAAATTTTTTTGCCCATACTATCATTTTCTCTTTTACCTGCTCATCTTCCATTTTTTAAACTTAATAAGAAGTTATATATATTATTAGCTTTTCATCTGTGGCTAACATTATTTGCTCTTTATAAAAGTTATAAGTCTTAAATCTTTCTCATACCTTGTTTGCATTTGCATATGTGGCCACCATGACAAATCAACACCTTTATTCTGTAGTTCTCATTTGGTTTTAAGTTCCCCATCTTCATTCAAAATATCTATATATTATTTTTTTTTCAGATTTACTAAATTTGGTTGAATAAATGCTTCCATTGTTGAAAGTCAACCTGCTATTTTCATATAAATTTTTGCTTTCAGCTTTTCACCCTAAAAGTGGAGCATTCCTTATATAATGTCTTTGAAAATATCTGTGAATCTTGTTTTTATCATATTATAGTAAAGCATGCTAACTGGAGATCATGACCTTCCAAAACAATAATCTTCTATGTTAGAGTTATCCATTCTTTCATCCACATTAATGCAGAAGCTTGGTAGTAAAGCTCCCAATCTGGTAGCCCCAAACCCCCGTTATTCTTAGAATCTTACAACATTTTCAATCTTATTCTAGCTTTTTTCCCTTGCCAAATAAAATTCAAAATTATTGTGTTGGCTCATCAAAGTATTTTTTTCTCTACTTTTATAGGGATTGTTTGAAACAAAAAAAGTAATTTCAGCAAAATATTCATTTTATAGTTGCTATTCTTGCTACCTAGAGATGAAATTGACAACATATATTGGATCATGGAGAAAGCTAGGGAGTTACCAGAAAAACATCTGCTTCATTGACTATGCTAAAAGCCTTTGTCATGTGGATCATGACAAAGAGATGGGAGTGCCAGACCATCTTATTTGTCTCTTGAGAAATCTATATGTAGGTCAAGCAGCAACAGTGAGAACTGGATATGGAACCATTGATTGGTTCAAAATTGGGAAAGGAGTCCGGCAAGGCTGTATACTGTCACCCTGCCTATTTAAATTATATGCAGAGCACATCATGAGAAAGGTGGGGCTAGATGAATCACAAGTTGGAAATAAGATTGCTGGGAAATATCAACAACCTCAGATATGGAGATGACACCACTCTAATGGCAGAAAGTGAAGAGGAACTAAAGAGCCTCTTGATGCAGATAAAGGAGGAGAATGCAAAAGTTGGCTTGAAACTCAACATTAAGAAAACTAAGATTATGGCATCCAGCCCCCTCAATTCCTAGCAAATAGATGGGGAAGAAATGGAGGTAGTGACAGGTTTTATTTTCCTGGGCTCCAAGATCACCATGGATGAGGACTACAGCCAAGAAATTAAAAGACACTTGCTCCTGAGGAGGAAAGCTATGGCAAACCTAGATAACATACTAAAAAGCAGAGATCATCCTGCCAACAAAAGTGTATATAGTCAAGTTTATGGTTTTTCCTAGTTGCAATGTATGGCTGTGAAAGTTGGACCATAAGGAAGACTGAGCGCCAAAGAGTTGAGGTCTTTGAACTATGGTGCTTGAGATTCCTGGGAGTCCCTTGGACTGCAAGACAATCAAATCGGCCAGTCGTGGAGGAGATCAATCTTGACTGCTCTTAAGAAGGTTAGATTCTGAAGATGAAACTCAAATACTTTGGCCACCTAATGAGAAGGAAGGATTCAGAGCCTTAATGCTGGGAATGATTGAGGACAAAAGAAGAAGGGGACGGTAGAGAATGAGATGGCTGGATGGAATCACTGAAGCAGTCTGCATGAGCTTAAATGGACTCCGGGGGATGATACAGGACTGGAAGGCCTGGAGGAACGTTGTCCATGGGGTCGTGATGGGTCAGACATGACTTTGCAACGAACAACAACAATTCTTCCTGCCATTGATAATTGCAAATTTTTCCATTTCTCCAAATCCAGTTTAATTTGTTGCAGTAGCCTTATATAGTTATCTTCTTTGATTGTTCCACATCTTGCTGTTAAATATATTCCCAAGTATTTTACTTTCTTAACTATTTGAAGGTCTATCTTCTTTGTCAATTCAGTTTTCTGTTTATCTGTAAGGTTTTTAACTATTATTTCAGTTTTTTCATTGTTTATTTTCAATCCTGCTACTTCTCCATATTCTTCTATTCTTTTCATTAACAGGACCAGTTTCCAATGATTCTTCTAGGATAATACCAGTTCATCCGCAAATGCTTGTAATTTATATTTTTCCCTTCTTATTTCCATGCCTTTTATTTCTGGATCTTGTCTAATATTCCTGTTTAACACATCCAATGTTAATATGAATAGTAATGGGGACAATGGCAGGGTAGATTTGATTTAAATCATTATTTAAATCACTAGTAAAAAGCCACGATTTAAATCAATTTTAATCATAATTTTAAAAGAGCAACTGTCATCTCTGTCCCACAGCAGCTCCTCCTCTGACCTGCTGTTGCCTCAGTGACAGTTCCATTCACTTTAATGGGACAGCTGGTGAGCGGATGCCTGCTAACAGGCACTGCCATGATGGATCTAAACAGGTGACAGGTGCTTTTTAAATATAAGGCCTCATTCTTGCTGGTAGTTAGAATCTTTAATATTATTATTTGTAGACAAAATAAGGTTTGCTATTTAGCTTGCAGAGCTTGAATGAGTTGTAAATTTTTGCGGAATATACAGCCTCATGCTATATAACTAAGCTCCATTTCATGCTGAATAAACTAAATGTATCTTAAATAGAAAACTATCTTTAGATAGATTTTTACTTCAAAAGCATTTTATTAAAATAAATTTGATAAAAATAAAAATTCAATTTAAATTTAAAAAATCCAATTTAAAATTCAAAAATCTAATATTTTGATTTTTTTAAAAAAATCATTTTTATCCACCCTGATACTCTGTTACAATTTGGTTTTAAACATATAAACTCCAATATTAAATCTATCTTTTAAAAAAGATAGTTTAAAGTCAACCGTTTTTATAATCCAACTTTTTCTTTCAATGTCTTGTCCAGATGTGTGTATAATGTTTCACTTTTCTTCCCTCACTTCTCCGATTATTTGATCAAACGATGATTGTAATCCAGAATGGCTCTCCAAACTCCCCAATATCAGTCCAAAAAACCAATGAAAATACCAAAAAAATCAAAACAAAAACCAATTCACTCAGTAACTAAGCAGTTCCACAAATCCAACAATATTTATAATCCACAAGATTGAACGAGCTTCAAAACATGCCTCCTGACCCCAACAAAAAATTAAATGGCATTGCAGCTGTGGTGTTATCTCTCCTATTTATCTATTTCAATTTTATTTGTCCCCCCCCCCCAGTTCACTTTAATCTGTGTAATAACTTTTCCATGTCATTCCAAGTATTCAAAAGTATTTTCAATATTTTAGGTTACTTTCTAAGTTATAGTATTCCAATCCAGTCTTTTTATTTAATATTTAATATTCTTCCATTTAGAATTCTGTTCCTTTTCTGGATCTGTTGTTTGTCTCTTTAAGTGTTAACTCTACAGTCCTTTTAGAGGTGGGAATAAAAATCCCTACCTCTTGCCTTAAAAGAGTTCCTTAGTTCCAAAAATATCTTTATTTCGAGAATAAATCTCCAAGGTAGAGATTTATTCACCCACTTGCTGTCCATGGATCAACTACTTCATGCTTTCTCTTTTGGTTGTCATAGGCTTCGATTGGACCAGTATGGCTGGCCCTTCCTGTGTCAGTCTAGAGGGTGCCCTCAGATCTAGTGAGAAGACTGATGTCTTCTCGTGATTGACAAGGGATCCCTCCTTTTTTTGTCACACCGTCAAGAGTGACTTTGGCCCCTAAGGGCTCCCAGGTGAAGAGAAATCATCTAGGCTTAGCGGTGCCCTGCTTTTTCCTGGCTGTCTCGCCATGATGTCATCCGGAAGTCATTAAACATTCCTCAGAATATGCTTATTTAATTTTAGATCTCATCATTTAGCAGCTCTTAATATATAATGAAACTTAAACGTGTCATGATGTTATCATGTTAAAAAAATTGTTCCACTTCATTATTGTTGCTTTGCAGGCAGTGAAATACAATATTTGATGCCATGATGCCTTCTTACTTTTATCATATATTACTAATCATGGGGAAAAGATACAGTATACAGTCCTATTCCATTCTGTGACAGCCATGTGCCTTCCATCCACCTTTTATGGATTAGGCCTTACTCATATTCAGTTTGATATATCAATATCAGTTTACACATGCTTCAATAATAGTTTTTTCAATGTCTGTCTGGTTATCTACATTTGTTTTTCTTTTTATATATTCTACACACTAGGTATGCCATTCACAATTCTGGCATCAGTTTTTCTGTTAAAAAGGTATTTTTTTTAATTTTTCTTCAATATTTTTAAAATAGTATTATATTTGAATGTTTAATAATTAAGAAACCTCTTGGGAGTAAATGTTTAGATCAAGCTCATTTTAAAAAGTATAAGAGATTATTTTTGTTTTCAGAGTCTTTAAATTATTAACTTAATTATTTCAAGTAACTGTTTATTAAGGTTCCTTAAATCTACATTCTAATAAATATATATGTAGGAAGAAAATCTAAATCTAAATAGATGATTCTAGTAGTGTGCATGTGGATGTTATATTCTAATAGTTTGCGTATGGATGTTATGTTAATGTTCTTGAGCTGGGTTTTTTTTTTTTTTTTGTATACACAAAGTCCTTGACAACCAGTCAACGTCCTCCATATCTCCTGTACTAATTAAGTTGTCTAGTATAACAAACATTTGCAATCCCCAAAACTAGCTCCAACAATACATTATACCCAGTAGTAGGATTCCAAATTTTTTCCTACCGGTTTTATGAGAGCTTGCTTCACATGCAGCACTCAAAAACCACCCTCTGTGTCAGTGGTGGTGAGGTGAGCTGTTTTTTTAGCTCAGCTGAGGCGTGGCAATTCATTCTGCCGCACGAATCAGCTGAATTAAAAGACAAGGGAATATAGGAGAGGAAATGGTGGAGGTGGGTGGGGCCAGCCAGAGGTAGTATTTGCTGGTTCTCTGAACTACTCAAAATTTCCGCTACTGGTACGCCAGGACTGGTCTGAACCAACTGAATACCACCTCTGATTATACTGACATATGACCGCAACATATTGTATAATATTGATTATAGAAACAAACTTAATATTCTAGTACTAACTACAGATTTGTGTCCATTTGTTTAATGATGGTCTAAAATCATGATGCCCTCAGCAAGGGTACTTTATGGCCTGTAAGGCACTTCTGACCATCACAAAATATTGCACCACCACTTGTGTGTTCATGTAATTGCGACTTGGGTGCTTGGCAATTTATTGGCAATTACAATCAGTTGCTAAGAGCCCTGTGAATTATTTACAATCTTCTTTGTCAGTTTCCCCAGAAAGTAAATGGGGGAGACTGCCAAGGAATATTGCAAGTTGCTGCTGCCTGCTAAAACAACACCCTCTTGTGTCTGGGGATTGGCTGAAAGAATGGAACTGAGCTACTTTGGTGAGTGCAGAAAAGGAGCTCATATCCCAAAGGTCCTTCAGCCCACCAAAACAGTTCCCTTCCACACATAGAAAGGAGCTGAACTTGGCAGGCACTTCTTTCTCTGCATCTGCTTAATGATCCGGGAGATCATTTAACGATTGAAACCAAGAATACTAGGATTGCAGCCACTGAGCAAAACAGTTGTGTGGGTGTCTTGCTTAATGATGTGTTGTTCAGCAACTGATATTCCAGTCTCAGTTGTGGCCATAAGTTGAGTTACCTGTAGATATAAAGTATAGGTAATCCCCAGGTTACGAGCATTCCCTTAGCAAACATTCAAAGTTCTGGGCCTCCTTTTTCACCATGAACTGCATGAAGATGGCTTTGTTGATGAAAAAGAAGGCCCAGAGGGCTGCATGCACCATTCCAGGCCTCCTTCCTCACCACCAAACTGCTTGAGGACAGCTTTACCAACAACAAAGGTGCGGAGGACCGCACGCACCATTTTGGGCCTCCTTTCCTATCCCCAAACTGCTTGAGGAAGGCTTCAGTGATGAAAAAGGAGCTGTGGAGGGCCACACGTTCCATTCCCGACCTTCTTTTTCGCCACCAAACTGCTTGAGGAAGGCTTTGGCGATAAAATAGGAGGGAGCAGGCAAAGAAACAGGCTGTAGAGAAGACAGATCTTCATCAGGTAAATGACTTGGTGTGGCAGGATTGGGGGGACACACTATCTGTGGTTGAGGGAGGCTTTGATGGTCTGAAGCAGATGACCTGTTCTATCACTAGGCCCCCTCATGGCTTTCCCCACCCCAAGATACCTTACATGCACTTAATGAGCCACATATTCGATTAGCAAATGCATGGGTGAAAGGAAGGAGTGATCACGTTCAAGGTACAAGATTCACTCCCACAAATCCTCAGGTTACGAATGGAATGGGCAGGCTCTATTACATTTGTAATTCTACGACATCTGTATTCATTGAAGCATACAGAAGCACAGCTGTTTAATAATTCGATTGGATATTCCAGCCAGGTAGGTTACAAAGGAAAATATTGTAAATATCAATTTCTAAGCTTTTATCACCAAAATAATTCAGAAAAAAATTATGTTTTCTGACAAAAATCATGTATTAAGAAGCAGGCACAACACTGTCAAGTCTACAATAGAAATGTTGTGGAGCTGACTAACTTTAGTCCTTATGTTAAGAATGGGGACTTCTGCAGGAATTGCATAGCTCAGGTACCATAAACAGATGTACAAAAATCTATTGATTGGCCCTCTTCATTGGCCCAAGAAGAAACCTGCTGATACCTGTGACCAGATTATTTAATGTTCTAGTTCACTGATGGCTAATCTTTTCAGCACCAAGTGCTCAAAGCGTGTGCACGCGCATCCACAAATACAATATGTATGCATCCCCTGCGCATGCACCCTGCCCCCACACGTGTGCGCGTTCCTGTGCATGTGCCCCCCCCCCCCGAGCATGCACGGCAGGACCTGAACACCTGCTGGCTGGCAGGAGGCACATGCACAACAGAACTGAGCTGGGGCGACAACTCACGTACCCACAGAGTTTTGTGTGCCACCTCTGGCACACGTGCCATAGGTTCACCATCACGGTTCTAGTTGAAAGCACTCAGACACCACTGAGGTGATTTTTATCTTTTATTGGTTTTGGTTTTTAACAGATGAGATCTTATATAAAAAGAGAAAGGGAAAAATAATGTTAAAGCAGAGGTCGGGTGAAAAGAGAGAAGATTCCAGAGAAAGGGACTTAAATGAGCAAATCAGTGGTAGAAGTTTCTGTCTTTTTAATTGATTGTTTTCAGACAGAGTAGCATCCACTGCCAGGTTTCTTTCCTGGTTTTCAGTAACAATGTACAGGTAATCCTTGACTTATGACCACAGTTGAGCCCAAAATTTCCAATGCTAAACAAGACAGTTGTTAACTGAATTTTGCCCCACTTTATGACCTTTCTTGCCATAGTTATCAAGGAATTCAAGTTGATAATTAATAACATGGTTATTAAGTGAATCTGGCTTTCCCATTGACTTTGCTTATCAGAAAGTTACAAAAGATGAACCATAAATACATTCCAGTTGTCAAGTCCCCGAATTTTGATCACATGACCATGGAGGTGCTGTAAAGTTGTAATTGTGAAAAAATGTCATAACTCAATTTTTCAGTGCCATTGCAACTTTGAATGGTCACTAAATGAATGACTGTAAGTCTGGAACTACTTATACTTTATTCTGGTCCCTGCCTTATGACCTTATTTTGTTCAATATTACCAAGTATCAGAGGCTAAATAAGGGAGAAAGCCACTGATACAAGGTTGGGGGGAGGGAAAAAGAAGGCGTCAAGTCCTCTATCTTCTTGTGGGAGAGTGAACTTACATCAAAAAGGGTTTTATAAATATTGCAATCCAGCTCATATTATTAGAAGCAAAAAACTACATCCACTATTTTCCAAAAGTGTGACAGAAAGAGATGCATTAACTGTTTTGAGTAGCATGTGTATATGGTTGACATTTAAAAGCAGATGCTGTTCAGAATTCTTTTGCTGTCACCTTAATCTTTCTTTAATTTAAACAAAGCTCAAGGAGATATATTTCCAGGCTGATCTGTTAACATGTTACATGAAAGATAGTTAATTCTATCTTTATATAGTTATACTTATTATAAAAACATTTATAAAAAGATACACTGAAAGTTGGTTCTCCAGAGTCAAGAATAATGATGACGTTGCTTTGATAAGATTAGGAATGAAAGAAAAAAATTAAGTTTTCACACAAGAGATCATACAAGCTGTTTTGTTTTAGTGCAGGGACCTTAAATCTTGCCTTCTTAGAAAAAGGGGATTTTAGAAGCAAAATGCTTATAAAAGATGCACAAAATCCCAGGAAAATTCTGTGAATTTCTATTCTACTTTTTTCATATATATTAAAAGCATTGGTAATTGCATGCTATCTTCTCTTTGTAGCAAGGTGATACAGTTGCAGATGTAAGAACACTGTCAAGTAATACAGCTATCGACAATATTCGGTCTGTCTTTGGAAATGCTGTTAGCAGGTATAGTTAAAATGTGATGTATCTTATAATCTAATTATGAGTATTAATATGCCCATAATTTTAGTGTAGTATGATTCACATGCTATACTAAATGGAAAGTAGGTTCAAGACATCTTCAGCCTTAAAAATTCACTGAAGGATTTTGCACAGGCATTAGTTGTTAACATACGGTATCTCAAGGTTGCTATTATGAGAAAATTTGGAGGAAGAATGCTTTATATGCCACAAGAATTCCTGGAGGAATGGTGGTACATAAATTCTACCACTTAAAATAAACATCCCAGCTAAAAATGTTGAAAAGTGTCAATTTATGGAAAATACAATAGATAAGCATTCAAAGATTTTGTTGGAAAAAATGGAAAGTACTGAGTATGCCATCTCAGTTCCTGGAGACATGAGATATAATTCATTTTTTAAAAAAATAGGTTTATTACATGGAATTATTGAGGTAGCTAAAGATGATCTCTTCTGTTGTGTCTCTTTTCTTGAGAGAGCTATTGGGTTGTGCTGAAAGGAGTGATTAGACCAAAAAAATCAGGCAGGTGTGCCTTTCATGAATGGTTGTATCTATTTCAAACATCCTTAACTAAGTTTTCAGTTCTTTGAGATCTTCCCTTATAGTAATAGGAAGAATCTTTCCCATAATCAAAACAGATAATACAGAAAGAGAAGGGTTATTATTTTTTCTTGTAGAATTTTTCTCAGCTGTATCATAGAGATCAGAGAGAGATTGTTCTTCAGTATAGAAATGGTAATTATAGTTTTGGATTGAACAGTTGCTGTTTCTGTTAAGCTAGCAGAAGTAGGCTTACATGATCATGAAGTGCTTTCCAAGATGGCAGCAATGGAGGAAGTTACATTGTGGGGAGAAGAATTGCTATTAAACTAGGTAGGAGAAGAGGTGGAGAGGGAAAGATAACTCATAGAAAAAGAAAAAAAGACTGGAAAAAAGGAAAAGAAGAGGAAGATTAGAGAAATTAGTTGGCTGAGGTAGCTAAAGATGATCTCTTCTGTTGTGTCTTTTTTTCTGAAGAGAGCTATTGGGTTGTGCTGAAAGGGATAATTTCTGAAGAAATTAGGAGAGAGAAGCCCAGCTGCACCCAAGAGGCCTGAGAAGCCCAGCTCACCCAGGAGGCCTACCCAAGAGACTAAGTTAAATGAATAATAAACAAGCACAAAAAGGAAGAAAAAGGGATAGAAAAAAAGAGAAAGAAACATAATTTTTTTACCCCTAAAAGAACCAGCAAAAAGAAACTCATGGAACAGGTGACTGATACTATTCCATGTATGTGCTTTATGACCAAAGAATACCCAAATTATACAGGGATGGGCTGCACCTCACGAAATCAAGGAAAAATATACTCAGAAAAAGATTGGTCCAACTAATCAGAAGGGCTTTTTAAAATTGAAGGGTGAGGTTGACCAATCTTTAAAATCTCTAGAACACAAAACCAATCATAAATCCCAAGAAAATAAATAATAAGGTAGATAGTGATGAGAAAAAAGAAAAACTCAACAACTAGGAGATGCAGGAAACGTATCCAAGGAGAGGTATAAAAGTCTTAAATGCTTATATACAAATGCTCAAAGCTTGGGAAACAAACAGGATAAACTAGAAGCAATAGTACACAAAGGCAGTTATGACATAGTTGCCATTACAGAAATCTGGTGGGATGAAACCCATGACTGAAATGGACTTGAATCAATACAAATTGTTCAAGAGAAACAGATTTTTTAAAAAAGAAGTGGAGTTGCACTATATGTAAGAGATCACTGACTACATACTACAGAAATGCACACAATCAAAGATAAAATATGGGTCAATATAAAAGGGGGGGGGAGTGACATTGCCATAGGTGTATATTACAGGCCACCCAACCAATCAGAAGAAATAGATGAAATCTTTGCCAACCAATTAACAAATGTATAGAGGAAGCATACCACAATAGTAGTGGGAGACTATCCAGATATCAACTGGGAGACTAATTTCTAATCTAGCCGATAATTTTGTCATCCAAAAGATAGAGGAGGAACTAGAAGTAAAGCTATACTGGATCTAATTCTTACTAATAGAGAAGAAGTGATTGAGGAAGTTGAAGCTGAAGTTGAACCTTGGATGAAAGTGACCACATCATACTGGAGTTCAATATAATGCAAACACAAGCAATAGAAAATAATCCAAACAGTGTCTTAAACTTTAAAAGAGGTTGTTTTTTTTTAACAAACTCAGAGCCTAGGAAAGATTCCATGGGTGAAAATCCTAAAGGGAAAAACAAGTCAAGAAACGTGGGAAACTGAAAAGTCTAGCCCAGCACAATACCACTCAAAACAAAACAAAACAAGAAATCGAAGAAGAAGCTAGCAAGGCTGCCCAAACTGAAAGACAAAAAGGACAAGTGCAAAAATGGAAAGAGGGACACTTAACTAAGGCTGATTATCAGCAGATAGCCAGAACATTGCAAAGATGAAGTCAGGAAAGCAAAGGCTCAGAATGAACAAAGATGTGCAACAAAAGTAAAAGATAATAAAGATTTTTTCCAATGTATTAATAACAAAAAAGTCAAGGAAACAATAGGTCCACTAAAGAGAGAAGATGGCAAAGAAGTAACAGGCAGTAGAGAAAAAGCAGAGCTGCTTAACATTCTTTACATCAGTCTTCAAGCAAAAAGTTTATAGCCCAATGCATCAAAAAAAAACCATTACTACTGTAAAAGACAATCTAGAAACAAAAATTAAAATAAGCAAGAAAATAGTAAGGGAATACCTATCTGACCCTGACAAATATAAATCACCAGGACCTCACAGATTACACCCCAGAATTCTGAAGGAACTGGCAGATGTTTTTTCAGAACTATTGTACCATATCTTTCAAAAAACCTGGAGCACCAGGAATTACCTGAGGATTAGATAAGGGCTGGTGTGGTTCCCATCTTCAAGAAAGGGCGGGGGGAGGGGAACAGACCCAGGAAACTACAGATCAAGCAGTTTAACATCAATACCTGGTGTTAGAGTTTGGGGATAAACCTCTAGCAGAGTATGCAGCAGCAGTCAAGCCAGGCAGCCAAATGAGAGAGGAAGGGTTTTAGAGTATACACACACTGAACACAAACACTGTTTGTAGTTTAAATAGTTTTTAATCCAGTTAGAGTTTAAGCATTGTCAATCAGTCCGTATGTCATTCACAATATATCCATTCAGTAAGACTCCCTAACTCAGTCCAGATAATAGTCCTTACTATATCTTTATCAGCCGATAAAGATATCTTCTCCTCCTCCGATGCCTTTCTCCAGAGGATAACGCTGGATATTCAGTAGAACGATCAAACAGTAGACAGTCGCAGTAAAACAGTAGTAAACAGTTGTATCCAGCAGTAAACAACAGTAAACAGCAAACGGTAAACAGTAAAACAGTAGGCAGTAGGCAGCAAGCTTTCTCCTGCTTCCTCTTATTGCAGTTTCTAACCGCACCCTTAATTGGCTAATTACATGCAGTGTGGTGCTTAAAGTTACAAACACTTAAACTATGATACCTTAGTTTATATATTTATCCACCCAAACCTTGTTGGGTATCAATGTTATACCTAACACCTGGGAAGATTCTAGAAAAGATAATAAAAATCTGCGAACAACTAGAAGCAAATTAAGTTATAACTAGTAGCCAGTACAGGTTTGTTAAGAACAGATCATGCCAAACAATCATTTCATTCTTTGATAAAGTCACTAAATTAGTAGACCAATGAAATGCTGTGGACATAGTATACATAGATTTCAGTAAGGATTTGACAAAGTAGACTACAATGTACTTCTGGGTTAGCTAGAGAAATGTGAAATAGACACCATCATTACCAGATGGATTTGTAACTGGCTGACCAACCATACTCAATTAGTAGTTCTTAATGTTATTACATCCACATGGACAGAAGTAGAGGAATACCACAAGGCTCTGTTTTGGGCCCAGTACTCTTCAATATTTTCATAACTGCCTTAGATGAGGGAATGGAAGGGTAACTCATTGAATTTGCAGATGACACTAAACTGGCAGGAATAGCCAGCACCCCAGAAGACAAGTTCCGGATACAAAAATATATTGACAGACTTGAACAATGGGCCCTATCCAATTTCATTTCAATGTGAAGAAAAGCACAGTTTTACATTTAGGCAGGAAAAAAATCAAAGATATACATATATATTAGGTGAGACCTGGCTCAAAAACAGTAACTGAGAGGGACCTTGGAGTCCTAGTGGAGGATCACTTGAATGTCACTTGAACCTGCAGTGTGCAGCTGCTGCAAAAAAACTAATACAATTCTGGATTGTATAAACAGGCATAGAATCAAGATCATGTGAAGTACTAGTACATCTTTATAAAACCTTAGTAAAACCACACCTGGAATACTCCAAACAATTTTGGTCACCATACTACAAAAAAGATGTTAAGACTTTGGAAAAAGTTCCAAAAAGAGTAAGATGATCAAAGGCCTGGAGACAAAAACATGAAGAATGGCTACAGGGTTTGGGTTTGGCTAGTCTAAAGAAAAGAAGAATTGGGGTGACATGATAACAGTATTCCAGTATTTGAGGAGTTGCCACAAAGAAGAGGGGGTAAAATTATTCTTCAAAACACCAGAGGGCAGGACAAGAAATAATGGTTGCAAACTAACCAAAGAGAGAAGCAAGTTGTAATTAAGGAGAAACTTCCTAACAGTGAGAACAATTAACCAGTGGAACAGCTTGCCTCCAGAAATCGTGGGTGTTCCATCACTGGATGGTTTTAAGAAGAGTCTAGAGTCTAGACAGTCACTTATCTAAAATGGTATAAGTTCTCCTGCTTGAGCAGGGGACTAGACTAGAAGACCTTCCAGCTTATTCTATTCTATTTTATCATTGAGGTTTTTTTGCATTGCTTAATCTTCCTATTTTTCTCTTGATAAATCTGCTCACCTTTGATTTGTGAAAGAACATAGCTTCAAGATATAAATACTTACAACAAATTTTAAATAACTTTTTGGATGCATATTAACTATGTTTTTAAATTAAAATAGCAGGTGTTAACACACAGGGAGCCAATTTGGTTTAATGGTTAAGGCACCAGGTAATAAATAGGAGACTGAGTTTTAGATCTTCCTTTGGCATGGAAGCCGGCTGGGTGACTTTGGGCCAGATACTTTCTTTTATCCCACCCCACCCCACAGGGTTGTTTTGTGGGGAAAACAGGAGGAAGGACTATTTTGAATGTTCACCACCTTGAGTTATTTATAAAAATAATAAAAGTGAGATATAAATAGATAAATAATAGTCGGGCAAGGCTTGAATAAGATTCCTTGCATCTATTGATGTTCTGATATTCATTAGTTTAGACTAGTGTAGTTTAGATCTTATTATCATCTAAACCTGAGACCAGAATCATAGTGTCTCTGCACAAATGTATCACCAGGCAATCATTTTAGGGTTTGCCAACACCTTCTAAGTTTGTAAAATATTTATTTTTAAAGTTTTTTTAAGAAAAAGCTTTATCGACTAAAAAGCAGCGGCCTAGATTCCCTGCTTTCATCCCTTCCCCTTTTCCTTTTCCACATAAAAAATGATGCGGCTACTTAAGACCAACCAAACTAGCAAATTTGTGTTTAAGATTAAACAAATTAGTTTTAGTTTAATTTATTTAAGGGCCATATGAAACAATTGGATTGGCTTTTAAAAAATGCATTACTTGAAATAAATGGATTCTCTCTCTCTCTCTCTCTCTCTCTCTCTCTCTCTCTCTCTCTCTCTCTCTCTCTCGTCATAATATATACATGTTTAATAGTGCACAAAAGGGTTAGAAAACTTTGAGATAGCTGATTTATAGTAATTATCTTTTGTTAACTGATTTTTGAGCATGATTGGAGTAACTTATTTTTCTTCATAGATAAAATGAATGCACTCTTCTAAAATAGTTATTTCTTGGTTTTTCTTGCATATGCAAAAGTGTAAAGGGAAGGGCACTTTGGAGCTTATGAAAGGCTACTTCATGATTATCTAGTTATAGTTTAAGTGGGCAGTGTGCTTCTAAATAAGGCGGTTCCCTAAAATTGTACATTACAAAAAAAAATTCTACAGGAGGTATGAAAATAACTATAAGAATATCTGAACATAGTTTTATTTTATGAGTAAAGAACTTTGACTAATTTTTACAGTGACTTTAATTACTGTTGTATCTAAAACTTAATTACTGATTAGTAGTAGTAATAATCATTAAAGATATACTGTAGGCCAGGGGTTTCAACTCAAGGCCCATGGCCTGGATCTGGCCCACGATGTGGTCAGATCTGGTCCCTGTGGCTGTCTTGGAAATTATAAGGGGATGGCCACATCACTTCGACCCAGCATATGCCATCCTGGCATGCGCGGTGCACACAGGAGGAAGAGGGTACACATGCGCACAAGCCCTGCCCACCGCATCCCCGGCATGTGTGTGTGTGTGCACAGGAGTACGGACCAGCATTGCCTCGTCCCATCACTTGCCCCTCAGCTGCCACTGCCACCACCTCTTATGGATCAGGGGGACCCAGCTGCCACTGCCACCATCAGTGGTCTGTTCCCCAAGAGACAACGATCCTGCAGGCTTCCCCCTCCTTACCAGCCCCACCATTACAGCCCTCCACCTGAGTGCCGGCCCACTCCTCTGGCCGCTGCCCCACGATCCTCTTGCTCTCCCATCTGCTCTGCATCCAGCAGCAGTTACAGCCCCCCGCTCAGAGAGGGTGAGCTGGGTGGAGAGTCCTGATGCTGTGGCTGGAGTAGCCATTCTTGGCCTGGCCAGAGAATGAGGGGCAGGTGGGCTTCATGGTGGCTGCACTCTCCCCCTCCATTCTCCCTTTCCCAATGGGAGCTCCAGGCTCTGCATCTCTTGTCCTCTGGAGCTGCATAGATCCTGCCTTCCCACGCTCCCAACAACCCCGTGAGGCAGGCCAACCTCCGCTGGGTCTCTTCCATGGAAATCTTCCTTGACAAGCCTGGAGGAGGTGATGAAGGGGGCAGCAGCAGAGACTAAACCCAGCGAGCCTTCACCGCTCCATAAAGAGGCGCCATGCCTGGATGGGTACACTTTGGCTCCATAGGGCCACCCTGTAAGTGGCAGAGTGGCTCGGAGATTGTGGGGCAAGTCAGCAGCAGGCCGTTGCCCAAACTGATGCTCGAGGCTCAAAAGCTCACTTCCCTCGGAAAGGACCTCTTCCTCCAGCCTTAGGATGGCGCATCTTTCTATCCTGCCATCTGCTGCGCTTTAGGGAAGCCTGGCCAGGTGCCACATGTTGGGTCTGGTAGCGGGCAGGGAAGCACTGCACCCTCTCCCTCTTCCTGCTAGGCTTGCTGGCAAAGCACCACTCATGTGCTGTTATGGTTCGTTGACAGCCAATGAAGATGGCAGTCAAGTCAGATGAGTCAAAGGAAATGAAGGGTGTGCTTGGGTTACCATTGGAGCCAGCAGAGGTCTTTGAGGAACAGAAGGTCTCAGAGCCAGATGCAGAGCAGGGCCCATCTACTCACGCTCAAGCAGAGAGACAGTTGTTTTGGGGGCCAGAGATGAGAAAGGGGGAAGAACTATCCCAGATGTGCGTATGTGCAGAGAGGTGTAGAGAGTAGAACAACGCAGGACTGAGGACCAGCTATCTAGGAAAAGGAGACGTTAATAAGATCCTCCCTGGCTGGGATATAAGGAGGAGGGGTGTGGGAGGCGTGGTTGTCAGAGACATCCATTCATGCTCCAGAATAGTTTCCTCTGGTGGATTCCTTGCCAGAATTTCCTTGCCACTAACCAGAACTCTTTGTGTTGGGTCAGGACTCTTTGTGTTGGGATTGAAGTGCTAATTGAGGCTTTCTGCTGGGAATTCGGAAACTACAGCTTGTGAATCACCTACAGATGTGGGACCTGGAGTTTTGTCAATGAATACTGTGAATTCCTGTCTTTCTAAATAAAAAGGGTTTTTTCTTCATGAGTATGCTGTTGAGTGGGGCTTGTGAAGGCTGGGTCAATATGATGAAACTCAGCACCACAGCCTTTTCTAGCTGGCCAGCTAAGAGGCCAACAGGCTGTGGCTACAGCCAGAAACCATCCCCACCTGCACACAAAGGGTGGTGAGTGCATGGTGGCCGATGGTTTCTGACTGTAGCTGCCCCGCCCCTTGCCTGACCTCTCCTCATCCTGCAGAACAAATATTCCATCCAATGGAGACCCCTTGATTCCCTAACCCTGCTCAGGTACCACCCACATGAGCAATGTCAAGTTGGCCATGCCCCCAGTTGGCTGCGACCACTCTGGCCACACCCCTCCTCCTCCCCTCCAGTCCCAGAGGACAATCACAATGCTGAACTGGCCCTCAATGAAATCGAGTTTGACACCCCTGATATAGAAGATGTAATCTGGCCTTATCTGGGTTATATGTTAGAAAACAGTGGAATCATGAGCAGAATATGTGCTGCATGTTTAATAATTATTAATTACAATAGTTTTAGTGTGTTCTTAAAGGTGTTTTATTTAAAAAACAAAGGACTAATTTTTATTTTAATATCTTTAGAGAATTGATTAAAGTGGGCTGTGAAGATGCAACATTGGCTTTTAAAATGAAAGGTTTGGTAACAAATGCAAATTATTCCATGAAGAAGTGTATCTTTTTACTTTTTGTAAATCGTAAGTACAAATATATTCAATTCCATATTTTCACTGAATGTTTAAGGAATACTTTTAGTCATTAGAGATCCATTTTTGTCATTAATCCCATCTTGAAACTACTGGTGTTTTTTTTTTCTAAATAGTTCATGTGTTGAAGTTAAAATAATTTTTTTAAAAAATAGCAATAACTAGCACTAAATCTTAATGAAATAGCTTGATCTGAAAATGAAGAAAAAAAGCTCCCATTCATGTTTTTGCATTATAATAATCAATCTTCATAGAAATGTTAAAAAAGGAAAAGAAAAAATGTATACATTTTTGTGTACATAACCCCTGATATGTTTCTGAAAGCCCAATGTAGTCTTCAACTAATTATGCAGCTTGGATCTGAGGAAATAAATAAGGTCCTGAATCAAGGTATAAATTGATTTGATTTAATATAGTTAAAATGAAGTATATTAGAAGTGTAATTTTCAACCTACTTTGGTTTTCTTTAATATTTAATTAATACTGCTCTAGCACAGGGGTCCTCAAACTATGGCCCATGGGACAGATATGGCCCGCCAAGGCAATGCAACTGTCCCATACGCAATGGTGATTAAGCCCTGCCCCCTGCCCCTCCCCTCCCAACCAGTTCTTGTGTGGCTGGCTGTGCTTGCATTGCCCCTCCTCCAATTGTCACCCTTCCGGCGCATGGAGGTCTGCTCACTGTAAGGGTGAAGGGTGTGGGTAAGGTCTCATTGCAAAGGTAAGGCTGAAGAGTGTGGGCCATAAGTGGGTGGGGAAGGCAGCTGGCCAGCGGCACAGCCACATGATCCCTGGTTGCCTGCAGCAGCTGAGCTACTGAGAATCCGGGTAGAGATGTGGGCTGGGGAAGGGGCTGAGTGCCATCAGCCTTACCTTCCAACCCGCGAGGCTTGAAAGCTTTTTGCAGATGCCCACCAATGTAAGGCTGACGGCAAGGGAGGGAGACACACTCTGCACCCACTGCACTCTGCAAAGGGTACAGGCAGGTGGGCGGGGAGGGCCAACTGGCCGGTGGCACAGTCACGTGGTCCCTGGCGCCCCCAGCAGTGCGCTCCAGAGAGTCCGGGTGGAGATACGAGCTGGGGGAGGGAGGCTGAGCGCCATCAGCCTTACCTTCCAGCCCACAGGGTTTGCAAGGCTCACCACGGCTGCCCATAAAGGTAAGGCAAACGGCAGGGGAGGAAGACACACCGTGCTCGGCTGAAGGGCGCAGACCACTTTGGGGGTGCACAGTGAGGCTCAGCTTCCTTTTGGGCCTGCCTCGGCGTCCACGGGGCCTCTATGCACCTGCTTCCCGATTGCCGTCCCTTCCGCCTTGGGCCCCTTATCCATCCCATGACCAGTGGACGTGCCATGTCTGGCCAGTGGGCGAGCGGGAGGCCCTCGGGAGACACCCATTTCTGCTTCTTCAAGGGCTCCGGCGGGTGTACCCAGGTGGAGGAGCTGCTCTGGGACGACCAATGGGCCCCTGTACTTGCCTTTGCATGGCAATAGCATTCCACCTTTGTCGTACATTTACGCCAGCTGGTGGTGCCAAGACATCCCTTGCCTCCTGCCACTTCAGAGTCGGAGCTATAAGCCACATTCAGAAAGCACTGCAGTGGAGGGGGTCTGCAGCGTCTGGGGTCAACTCTAGCTTTGCTATCCATTGAAGGTTGGAGAGGTGGTGACGGCGGTGGTGGGGAGGGCTAGCAAGGCTTCCCGTAACACCACTAGGTCTAATTGGCCAGGCAGCAGCGGATGGATTGACACGTGTGAGGAGGGAGGGGTGTGCGCCTAGGATGGCAGTGTCAGAGCACTTCTTGCTCTTCATTGAAGAAGAAGGGGCAGGGCCAGCATGATCTGAATCCTGCATCTTGCAAGGAAAGGCTTCCAAATTTACACTTGGGAGCGTGCACACACATGAAGACTGGCCCTTGCCAGTGGTTAGCAGGAATTAAGAGAGACCAGATTTTTTGGGGGGGACAAGGGGGGGTGCATATGCATGTTGTCCAGCTCACCGCACTTTTCCGCTCTTTCCTTTTTGTTATCCGCTAACCAGACCCGCCACTCCCTTTGTCCTCCAAAACAGCCGCTGCCGTTTGCAGGGATGTCACACACTCCCACCAGTCCTTGCTCCCTCCTTCTCAATAGTTCTGATTGTTAATGGCCCATTTTCCAAAGTAAAATCTCTGGGTGGTACATTCCCCAGTTCTAAAAAAAGATGAACAAAATTCCACCTGACAAGGGGCCAACCATTGCTAGAAGATGGTGGCTGGGGAATTATTTAGTTTCAGTGATTCTTGCTCTAGGCAAGCATTTAAACTTTGGCAAGTTTAAGATGTTATGGATCTCCTCCCAGAAATCCCCAGAGGATTTGTGAGATATTGAGATGGAACCATTGTTATTGATACCTACTGTTCTCTCTTAGCCTTTTACTTTGTAAAGCTTATCATTGTATTTATATTTATATATTGTTTTTAATCCTGTTGTATGTTGCTCAGAGGCCCTTGTTTGTGTCAGAGGCCATCGTATAAATTTGACAAATAAACAATGAATAATGAACAATGAATCCTATTTTTTCCATTTACTTCACTTCCAATTCTCTCCTGGTCCTCCATTGTCTTTCTCCTAAACTAGAAACAGCAATCTGACATTCTCTGTAAAATCTACAGGTAGTCCTTGACTTAGGACCATTCGTTTAGCAACTGAACAGTCCCAAGTATATGGGAGGTTGCTGCTGACAGGTGCCTGTTACCAGGTTCTGGAGTAGATATAAACCTGCTCCTTTGCCTGTCTAAGGAGGCCCAACTCTTGAACTGAATCCCTGTTTGTTTAATTCTTTTTTTAATGGTCTATTTTAAAGAATCTGAAACTGCTGTTGTAATTAAGTTAGGTAAGTGTCAAGAAAGTGCACTCATTTTCCCTTTGGGGAGGAAGATCTTATTAAATAAATAGATGCCTTGAGTTGAGCAAGTAAAACTTAGGAAGGACAAAGGCAAAATGGACTGCTAAATTGGCCATGCCCACCCCAGTTACATGAACACCTAACCATACTCACCCACTCAAATGACCACCTAGCCACGCCCACTCAGCTGGTCTGGCCCCCCCCCCGAGGGGTCTTGAATTGGCCCCCTGTTTAAAAAATTTGAGGACCCCTGCTCTAGCATAAGGAGAGCCTAAGTATGAAAAACTGTAAACTATGGATTGACTATGCACCAGGCAAAGAAATCATGTAAGAAAAAAAAATCACCGTCATGGCAGAATCACTATGTCCAGTGATTTAGAAAGAAATATAACCTGTTTATCAAATAAATAGATCTTAATTAAAATACAATTTTTGGCAAAATAGATCATTCTTTTTGGTCATATTTTGACTGTAATTTTTTTATGCATGTTTCACTTATAAGAATGTTATTAACTGTCATTAAAACAAAAACATGTTGGTTCCAAATCATTGTTTGTATGTCTTTTAAGGATATTTGTTGAATGTGATGTCCTGATTACATACGATTTTTAAGAACATTTTTACAGTCATAAAATTTAACTTTTTAATTATATATTTGGCATAGGTTTTTTTTGTATATAAAGCTAAGCTTATTCAGAAATGGATATTAAATGATAATTTGGAAAAGATAATTGAAACAATGTTGTCTATTCTCTTTGCAGATCGATTGGTAGAGTCAGCTGCCTTGCGCAGAGGGCTAGAGACTGTATATGCTGCTTATTTACCCAAAAACACGTATCCATTTTTATATATAAGGTAATACTGAGAAATACTTTTGCCGTTGAAATTCAGTTTGGCAGGTAGAGGAGACTAATTTTTGCTTCCTAACAAACCAAAAATGTAGGTTCTCAGGACCATGCTTGATATATGTATTTGACTGGATAAGGATTACTGAATGAAAATTAAATCTGCATAAGAAGAAAGTGCTTCTTTTTTTTTGAATGTTCAAGAGTGTTGGTAAAAGTTGTTCTATCTTTATAAACAAATATAATTAAGAATCTTTTCTGGATCCTGACTTAAACTTGGAATTTCAGATCCAGCTATGACCTGAACCTCTTTGCCCAATTAGGATTGGTGGGCCAGCACTTTTTTCTTTTGGAACCTCACTAGTTGTTACGATGGTTCATGCTATGGGTATCTATTGCTTTGGTTATTGTAAGGATTACAGATATGACTTTGGTTTTGAATACCATTTTGCAAATTTCATTGGTTCAAAATGTGTTAGCCAGGCTTCAGTTTTATCTATGGTCTGCCTGTCCATTTCAAAGCACAATTTAAAATTTATTGTTAATCTGTAAAATTATAAATTTGCTACTATATTGTGAATATTTCTGCCAGTTCTCTTATTCTTGGAAACTATGATTGCTACTACTACTTATGAATAAATAATTCAAAAGACATTTTTTCTATGTGAACTTCCAGTTTCTTTTATGAGAAGTATACCACATTTAGCTCATGAACCAAAATATAAAAATATAAATCTAATAAACATTATTTGCATTTAGGGCAGGTCTTTAAATTAAACTTCAATGTCAAATGTTGTGAACTACTTCTGTCTTTGCTTGTTTATTCTGCTTAATTGTCTTGTGTGTTCTTTTCTGATTTCCTTACGAAGAAAAGGCCTGGAAATAAACTACAGTAAATGAATGTTATAGTATTAATATTATATCTGCATTTGTTTCAAATGCACAGTAGGCTATGTATGTCAGCTATGAAATTCAGCTGCCACATATTTATTTTTAGAGAGTTAGAGGAATTGAAAAGTTCAAGGTTATTCTGTGTGTGGTATTAAGAATTTCCAGTTGCAGTTAATTGGTTCTCGTGATTTATGAAGAGTAGAAGTGGGAGGAGAGAAGGTGGATTCTGTGTAACACGGGAAAAAGCTTTCACTTGGGAAATTGCTTTTGAACATGCCAGATCTGTTCCTAATAAATCAATTGGAGAGATAACGTCTTGGAGTGATTGATATCATGGATACTGTCTGGATGCTTGACAGGCTATATAGTAGATGTCTCTCAGTTGTGTGTTTAAAGGATTCCTATGATTTGTATAATTCTGGTTTTGAAAAAATACATAGCACCACAGTTCTGGTTACAATGCAAATTTGTAATCAAGCACATCTTTGAACAACTTACACTTATTGTTCTCAAAATGTTTTATAGCCTTGAGATTGCACCTCAGAATGTGGATGTGAATGTGCATCCTACAAAGCATGAAGTTCATTTTCTCCATGAAGACAGCATCCTGGAGCATGTACAACAACATATAGAGAGCAAATTGTTAAGTTCCAATTCATCGAGGATGTATTTCACTCAAGTAAGTGGATTCTTTTATCCTCAAATGAGTAATATATGTTTTATTAATAATAATCCTATGAAAATCATTCCAAATTAATTATACTATGTTGTGTATGAGAAGCTAGGATGTTACCTAGTTTGGGTAATGAAATGTCTGCAAGAAAACAAGCCAGCTCAGAGACCACCAAGGACCCCTCATTTCAACCCTGAGCTAAATAACATTCTCCTTTATTGAGAGGGTTATAAAGAATCAGTATTGCATCTTTTGACAAATCATTGAAAATCTGTGGAATCACTGAAAAATCCAAATACATTATCTTAATATACATTAATAATTTTAATTGTGTGATATAAAGTTAAGAGAGGTTTCATGTAAGACAGAGGTTGGAAAAGGATTTTAATTTGTAGAAACATTAAAATACTCTTTCATCATTATTTTTCTGCAATTAAGACATTGTTACCAGCCATTGCCATCTCTTCCACTGAAGTTGTTAAATCAACAAAATCAGCTATTCAAGGAAGTGAGCAGGTTTATGCTCATCAGATGATCCGCACTGACTCACGGGAGCAAAAATTGGATGCTTTTCTTCAACCAGTTATTAAAACTAAGAATGCAGAGCTTGTTGTGGCAGAACTAGAGGACAATAGCAATATTCAAAGTTGCAAGACTACTGGAGTACAAGATGTTGAAATGGAAGAATGTGATGATTTGAGTGCAAGTATTTCAAGAACTGAAGAGACACTGAAAGGATCAGTGGAAAGCCAATCAATGCCTGTTGAGGCAGTATCTGAAAGGTAAGAGGGTTTTTTGGACAACGCTCTATTTCTTTTGAAAATTTGTTCTCTTTTCTAGTTACATTAACATCAGAATCTATATGCTTTTAAGCCTTCGATAGAAAAAAGATGAATCTTGGTCTAGATTCTTTTTAAAATTATTTAATATTTTGCCTGGGCTGTTTAGCATTATTTATTCTGATAAGTATGTTATGACCTGCCCGCAGCTGACAGAGCTGGCAGCAGAGTTGGACAGCGAGGAGGTTGGGGAGGAAACTGGGCCAGTGCTGGAGTCTGAGGAGGGCTCAGATGAGGGCTTTGCGTTAGAGGCAGAAATGGGGCCGGGGTAGGCTGGCAGTTATCAGCTGCCTTCAGGCTTGGACAACAGTGAGGCACGGAGCTTCTGGATCCAGTTCCCAGCCTGCCCATGCTGCCAAAAGGAAGGAACAATTAAGAACTCAGGGTTGACGGAGTAAGGCCACAGGTGGATGATGAATGGCCCTCCCATAAGGATTAAAAGAGGAGCAAAAGGGGAGGGGGCTTTTATAGGAAACAATTTGTTTTTTTGTTCCACCTCATGAAGATCTGCCTGTGTAACCTAGAGACTCTGCCCAGCCCTTCCCTGTCAGCACTGCGTGTGGAAATATTTACCAGGCAGCTTTCCAAGGTAGATAAGATCTGAGCTAATAGTTATGCCTTGCAAGACTGTTTGCCAGGCTGTTGGCTGAATGTGAATGCAATAAATTCACATTCATTTAATAAAAGAGGCTTTGCTAGGACACAGGGTTTGCTTAGTGCTTTTTGGGGAAGCCTAGAACAGAACAATCTATCCCATTTCTAATATAATTTGTTTCTTAGGCCTCTACCCACTGATTTTCTGGTGAAGTAAATTTTCCATATACTCCCATAGAGTAAGCTTTACATTGTAGAACAGGGGTGAACAATTAATTTTCCCAAGGGGCTGCATGAGAAACTGGAACTGTTGTGGAGGGCTGCCATTGCTGCCCCAGTGCCTTCCCATTGCTATGGTTGTTCAGGGACAGTCAAAAGGCCAGATGTCATCCCTGTGCTATAAAATGCCCAGGTCTTTTTGTAGGAGGATGTATTAGGTCCATAGTTTGGTTTCATATATGCTATGCTGCTCATTTCTTTGCCCGCCTATCCAGTACTAATGTAAAGTGTTGATATTAAGCATTAGTTGCTGAAATAGACAATTTAGATCATTTGGGAAATAGATTATTTTAGTGAACTTATTTTATTTAAATATTTTTGTATTTTATTTATATTTATATTTGTGTTGTCAAAGTAGTATTGATTCCTGGCAACTGCCTGAACAAATCCCTGAAGTTTTCTTGGCAAGATTTTTGAATTATTTGCCATTACCTTTTTCCTGGGACTGAGAGAGAGTGAATGGCCCAAGGTCATCCCACTGATTTGTGCCTAAGGAGCGATTAGAATGCTTGTTTCTAGCCTAGTGCCTTAACTACTACATCAAATTGGCTTTCTATTTTATATCAAATTATTGTAGTACTGAATTCCTGAGAGGAGGTACCATTCTACTTCATTTTGTAATATATGTTCTATCATCCAACCAACATTTTGTGTTTAATAATAATTTGAAAAGTAGATTGCCCCAGCCTAATTGGATGTAACTTAATTATGTTCTGCTTATCCTGCCATGGGTAAGTGTAAATACACCTTGCTTCCTAAAAGCATATATTTTTGTTGTGTTGTACTTTTGTAGTAACTCTCATGCTTTTACAGTAAATAATGGCCCCTGTATGTTATTTTGATAAGGTGGGAAGATTGAAATATTCTTATTAGCTAATTAAAATCCAGGTAGGAATTATTTTTTATAACCTTAATTAAAATCCAGGTGCCACAAAAATGTTATTTATAGACTTAGGTTATAGTAACTTTTACTTTATATGGTTTCTTCCCTTTATAAATTTAATTGCTTATGGATATATTAACAGTATGTTGTATTTTTTAAATCAGCAGACACTTTGTTTTCTTAAATGGGTTCTTTAAAAGAGATGTTATTCAGTTAAATTTCTCTTGCAGAAAGAGACAGCGAACAGATCATGGTCTTGAAATGGAAAAAAATCCACAACAGGAAATGGCTGCTGCCTGCACTACAAGAAGAAGAATTATTAATTTAACCAGTGTATTGACTCTTCAAAAAGATATTAATAGTAGGGCAAATGCAAGTAAGTTTTTTTTTGCCACTAGTTTTTTATACTGCCTGTAACCTTTTTCAGTAATTCAGCAACAAGGGAGAACTTGTTTGCTTGTAGAGTACAGGTGAAACTCGAAAAATTAGAATATTGTGCAAAAGTTCATTTATTTCAGTAATGCAACTTAAAAGGTGAACCTAATATATGAGATAGACTCATTACATGCAAAACAAGATAGTTCAAGCCGTGATTTGTCATAATTAAGATGATTATGGCTTACAGCTCATGAAAACCCCAATCCACAATCTCAGAAAATTGGAATATTGTGAACAGGTTCAATATTCTAGGCTCAAAGTGTCCCACTCTAATCAGCTAATTAAACCATAACACCTGCAAAGGGTTCCTGAGCCTTTTAATGGTCTCTTAGTTCAGTGGGAAGCACAATCATGGGAAAGACTGCTGACCTGACAGTTGTGCAGAAAACCATCACTGACACCCTCCATAAGGAGGGAAAGCCTCAAAAGGTAATTGCAAAAGAAGTTGGGTGTTCCCTAAGTGCTGTATCAAAGCATATTAATAGAAAGTTGTGTGGAAGAAAAAGGTACACAAGCAGCAGGGATGACCGCAGCCTGGAGAGGATTGTCAGGAAAAGGCCATTCAAAAGTGTTGGGGACTTTCACAAGGAGTGGACTGAGGCTGGAGTCAGTGCATCAAGAGCCACCACACACAGACAGATCCTGGACATGGGCTTCCAATATCATATTCCTCTTGTCAAGCCGCTCCTGAACAATAAACAACATCAGAAGTGTCTTATTTGGGCTAAAGAAAAACAGAACTGGTCTGTTGCTCAGTGGTCCAAAGTCCTCTTTTCTGATGAGAGCAACTTTTGCATCTCATTTGGAAACCAAGGACCCAGAGTCTGGAGGAAGAATGGAGAGGCACACACTGCAAGATGCTTGAAGTCCAATGTGAAGTTTCCACAGTCTGTGTTGATTTGGGGAGCCATGTCATCTGCTGCTGCTGGTCCACTGTGCTTCATTAAGTCCAGGGTCAACGCAGCCAACTACCAGGAGATTTTGGAGTACTTCATGCTTCCTTCCGCAGATGAGCTTTATGGGGACGCTGACTTCATTTTCCAGCAGGACTTGGCACCTGCCCACACTGCCAAAAGCACCAGAACCTGGTTCAATGACCGTGGGATTACTGTGCTTGATTGACCAGCAAACTCGCCTGACCTGAACCCCATAGAGAATCTAGAGGCACTGCCAAGAGAAAGATGAGAGATATGAGACCGAACAATGCAGAAGAGCTGGAGGCTGCTATTGAAGCATCCTGGTCTTCCATAACACCTCAGCAGTGCCACAGGCTTCCATGCCACGCTGCATTGAGGCAGTAATTGCTGCAAAAGGGGCCTAAACCAAGTACTGAGTACATATTTATGCTTATACTTTTCAGAGGTCTGCTATTGTTCTATGTACAAGCCTTGTTTTATTGATTGCATGTAATATTCTAATTTTCTGAGATTGTGGATTTGGGGTTTTCATGGGCTGTAAGCCATAATCATATCAATTATGATAAATCACGGCTTGAACTATCTTGCTTTGCATGTAATGAGTCTATCTCATATATTAGTTTCACCTTTTAAGTTGCATTACTGAAATAAATGAAATTTTGCACAATGTTCTAATTTTTCGAGTTTCACCTGTATGTGTGAATGTACTAAGCTGGAAGAGATGAGAGCTGATAAAAATAAAATGTCTCAGAATAGTCAGCTTCCCCTTCCAAGGATGTCTGCTGAGGACAGTTGGCGGTTCCGAGGTTGGGGAAATCAGGAAATGAGAATAGGGCTACTATTTGAAAATTGGAGTCAGGTCAGAATATTATGGTAGCAGTGGGAAGAGGGAAATGTGGAAGACGGGAACACAAGACCATTGTCTTGTAACAGTTTCACATTCCAACTCCGTGATTTGAGCCCCAATGCCCAAACAGTTGTCCTGTTCCCATCTCCATTTCTCAGACACTCACTTTCCCAACCAGCTGTTACTACAGAATGACAGGTATGTCTTCATCACAAGTTATTTTCCAAAATCCTTAAGAGAATTAACAAATTCATTATTTGTTTATAAATAATTATTATAAACTATTTTATTAAAACTACTATTTTTTTTCTAAAGACCTCACAAAGTTTGAATGCATGTTCAGATTGAAAGAACTGCAAAACATCAGCCTAGAAAGCAAAATTTGATTCATATACTTGAGCTACTGATGAAGCAACAGGGTTTACTTTACTTTACTTTATTGTCATTGCACCTCGTACAATGAAATCAAACACCATCTTCAGTGCACATCATGACCATGACTATGAAAATAAACACAAACACACATCCTTCATCCTTCACACATTGAACCGGAAACCCCCGACACCACACCAGCACTGCACTATAAAGCAGAAATCAAAAGAGCTACTGCCCTGGGGTAGAAGCTGTTTTTCAGCCTATTTGTCCTTGTTTTTATTATTCTGTACCGTCTGCCAGATGGTAATAGTTCAAAAAAAGGGTTCCCAGGATGAGATGGATCTTTGAGAATGTTTTGAACTTTCTTAAGGCAGCGGGAGCTATAAAGCTCTTCCAAAGGGGAGAGGGCAACCAATGATCTTCTGGGCAATGACATTAACCCTCTGGAGTGCTTTCCTATCTGCCACTGTGCAATTGGCAAACCATACAGAGATGCAGTATGTTAAAATGCTCTCTATGGTGCAGCGGTAGAAGGTCACCAGCAGTTTTTCATTCAGTTGTTGTTTTCTGAGAAGTCTCAGGTAGAATAATCTCTGCTGGGCCCTTTTGACCAGGGCTGCAATGTAAGCACCCCAGGTCAGATCCTCTTTTTAGGGTAACACCCAGAAACTTAAAACTGTCCACTTGCTCCACTTCGTCTCCATTGATAAGCAAGGGCTGGATGTCTGATCTGTTCCTTCTATAATCCACTATAAACTCCTTGGTTTTATTGGTGTTGAGGACCAAGTTATTGTCTCCACACCACGAAAGCAACCGGTCCACTTCATCTCAGTAGGCAGACTCATTCCCCCTGGAGATAAGTCCCCCCACTGTTGTATCATCTGCAAATTTAGCAATAGTATTACTAGCGTGAGTGGGAATGCAGTCATGCACATAAAGAGTAT